TATATATATAAACTTTTATAATAAATATTGTTATTGCCATTATTTTGTATTAGTTACAAGTTCATCAATACATCATACTTCTCCCTAAACGTGCCCGAGCTGAAACCAGATACCATGTACATCTTTGATGTGATGGCAAACGAAGGGAGAAGATCAAGCGATTATAGTATCGAGGCTTCCGCCAAGACAAAGGATGCGAGTAAGTGATTTATTCAGCCATTTACTCTCTCACAAGATAAATGTATTGACCTACTTTCTGTATTGGTGCTGGGGTATTTATATTGCGCCTTTTCCTTGCGGTTATGAAGTACAAGCCAAGCCTCCCTAATTGAGGAAAACAATGGAGGTGGAAAAATTTGAAAGACATCTCAGAAATTGGGTTGATAAAAATCACTTCACAATGCCTTATTCTCTCAAATTTACCCCTCACTTTACAATTGTGCACCTAACAAGTTTTTCAAATTCTCCTTCACCATCTCAAAATTCCTGAATATATGCCACTGATTATCTGGCGTTTTACCATTGGTCGCAGAATGTTAGTGTTGCCCTATGCTATTAGAATGCAGTAACAATGGAAAATCCATGTAACATCCGATGTATAGCTTCCCTCTCATTGAAAGTTTGTTAAGATTCTTAAGCTATGAACTGACCGATGATGCAATCTTGTTTTTTCACCTGAGAGATTTTCCCTAGAGATATATGGAATATTTCAAATGCAAAACAGATTTCATGCCAAAATGGACACAAAATGACGTTTAATGATGAATTCCAACCATTAACATAATTTCTCTGTACATTTCGACACACTTGTTCACACATTATCCATTGGAACAGTGTGTGTGCGCGCATATAATTTAACAAGCTATTTGACTCGGATTTATCTAATTTGTTAACTGTGGAACTAGACGGTTTATTTGTAAACTTAGTTAGCCTGACTATCAAGAATTCAATGAAACTCAAAGATTAACATGATTCTCTGTGGTGAATTATGCATTATTGAGGTTGATTTGTGAAATCATTAGTAGAGCAAGACTGTCCCAGTAGTAATAAAGAAAGAATAACTTCAAAGCAGAGAAAGTATAAGAAAAAGTTTGGTCTGGAAAGGATCCGTCAATATTGTTCAATATAAAAACACTTTAGAAAACATGACATTTCAAAGTATTCAAACCAAGATTTTTTTTCTTTTAAAAAGTGATAATACTGTACAGTAATTAGATTAATAAAGCTTATTTGAGTGTGATCACTACTAAATTATTCAAGGTGTCGATATTAGTAGATATCTGCTTTCTTCTATTAAAATGATACTCCATTTGATTAACCAGAAGTACAGTATGTACTCCAAAGATGTACTGGAATTGCTTGTCATTTTTAGGGGCAGACCCAACATTTTGTTTTCAAATCTAAAAGGTGGGGGAAAGTTAACATACTAAAATAAATATCAAAACATATTAGCTGTAATGTTGTGATTAATATGTACTATGGTTTTTTGGGGTTTTTTTTTACATTTTAGCTCCGACGTCGCCACCTATGAATGTTAATGTGGTACCAGTTCCGAATTCACCCACAACAATGCAGGTTAATTGGTTGCCTCCTAGCCAACCTAATGGACTAATAACAGGTATAATCTATTTTGATATTCTTATACAATAACAATAATATATCATTATTCAACCATTTTAAACCTTTATCATGCTCTTTTATTACAAGATAATACTAGTAAAAAAAAAGAATAAATATAAAATGTAAATGCAGCCTTTACAAAAGGAACCTTACAATTCATTTTATATATCTATATATGATATATCTATGTTATGGCAGAAAATAACAAACTTGAATATTTTCTCTAATATTCAACTACAGTATTTTAAACCTTTATTATGCTCTTTTATTACAAAATAATACTTAAAAGAAAAGACAAAATATAAAATGTAAATGCAGTCTTTACAAAAGGAATCTTACAATTCATTTTATATATCTGTATATGATATATCTGTTTATGTTATGCCAGAGAATAACAAACAAATATTTTCTCTAATACAGAAGGCTTTTAAATTATTACTTATTATTATTATTATTATTATGACTGTTTATATTTGAAAGTAATAGAAAAAATAATTCATTTGTATAGAAAATTACTTTCAGTTTGCATATAAGATGATAAAATAGTGTTATGATTTCTCACACTTGTATCTTACAAATAGGTTATGTTGTGTACTATTCCACTAATGGTGACTTAAAGCCAAATAAATGGTCGAAAGAATTTGTGGATGGTGACGGGATGACCACATTGATTCAACCTTTGACCTGCAAAACTATGTATTATTTTATGATGCTAGCAAAAAATAGGAAAGGAGAGGGACCACTCTCACCCAAGACAAGTGTAATGACCCCAGGTTTGTAATGGGGAGAAGGGAAGGTTTGTTTGGGATGGGGATATTGTAAAGATAAGAAAACATGGTGTATCTGCCCTGTACCTATAATGGCTTCAAGTACTGTTGTAGAAGGTTGCTATTGGTCAGTAGATGTGTGAATCCAAAAGGTCCACTGATTAATCTCAGATAAGATAGTATAATACATACTCCAAGTATCAAAATCCACGCCATCGTGTCGGGATTCAACATTCCGACATTAATTATGTCATCATCAGGAATGATGATGGGTGAATGTACAGGAGAGGAGATGCTGTATATATGAAACAGGAGATGCTGGTAATGGGACACGTTCTGTAAAGGGAGAGTAAGAGTTTATAAACAGAAAGGGAAAAAGGCAGAGATGGTTTTAAAGTGGAGAACTTTTGAAAGGTTTGTAAAAGCGGTCAATGGGGTTTTTAGTGGAAGGCAGGGGTTCAACAATGGACAAGCGAGACTGAATTTAAAAGGGTCAGGCAAATGTATGTAGATTGGAATGTTTTTCTATTAGATTTGTTAAATAATCTTGCCTTTTATGTGTTTATTGTGATTTATAATTTTGTTTGCATTCCTTATTTTATAGAATGTGAACCAACTGCAGCAATAACAAATGATAATAGACAAACAACAGTGGATACTGTTACACAAGGTATTATATTTTTAATCATAATTATGTCATTATTATTATTATTATTACTAATAATAATTGTTTATAAATCAATTTGAATAAATTCAATCTAAAGTTTTTTCTATCATCTATTTTTGTCTTCCAACAAAGCTGCCATTAAAAGTGGAAATGTGGATGAAGCCACGATCCCTCGCTGGTTGTGGTTCCTTATCATTGGCATAGCCTTCCTAATTCTCTTCCTGGCCATCCTTCTCATCCTCTGCATTGCCTGTGGTTGCTGTGTCTGCTGTGCTGATCTGTGTCCATGTTTTGCGTCCTGCTGTGCTGGATGCCGGTCCTGCTGGGCTGAATGCTGTCCCTGCTGTTGTGCGGCAGAGGATAAGAGCATGACCAAGGTTATGTAAGTGTAACTAGGCTTAAGGTAGCAAATTTAGGAATGGGGACAACCAATTTGTAACCCATGTTTTCCACATCCTTGATCAAGGTTGTAGCTAATGAAAACTAAGGGTAGGGATAGATATTTTGAGGGTGGGTGCATGATAATAAACTCTAGATAATACAAGTGGATTTTAAGGATGGAAAAGTAGGTTAATAAGAGCAGGTGGAAGGCCATGAAATTAGCTTTAGACTGGGTTGCCCCGCCCACCTCCGCCTACTATAACTACATCCCTGCTTGATCTGTCACTGCTTTCAAGTCATAGGCGTAGGCTGGTGGGAGGTGCGGGTGCGAGTTTTATTGCACACCCATGATGGGAAATTAAGTTCCACTAAGTGGGTTAAAATACTAAATGCCCATTAAGTTTTTAATTTAGATACACATTCTCAAGTTTCGCACCCCCAGACCAAAACCAGCTTATGCCCCTGCAAGTGCTATTAAAAGATGGATAAAAACTATAATGAACAAGAGTTGAGCAATAGGCAGAACCAGTTGAAGTAAATAATAATAATTATGTCTTTGGTAATTTGGCTTTATAGTCAAAGTTAACTTTTTGTTAACACCATTTCTTATGGCTTAACTTGCCACCCTGCCGTGATTGTATGCCTACATTACACCAGGTATCAGATAGGCCTACTGAAAGCTAAATTTTTAACGATCATTATCATCCTGTTAAAGATGATTATAATAATCAATGTAACACCAGGGTCAGGTGTTTTGCCCTATTTTAACTATCAGAATCGAATTAGGACCTACCTCCTTGTTTGTATTGTGTTCAGCACAACAAAATAGTAAAAAAGTATATAAATTAACTTGTTTTTTTTGTACTGAATATTGGCCATATGATAAACATAAGCATTTCTGTTTACAAGTAATTAAATTTGGTCTTGACAGTTGCAATGGGGAGGAAGCAAATGAATTTAATTAAAAGTTGTGAAAATTTTCAGGTACCAGAAACCACCTAGTGGAGATGGACCAGATGTTGTGTTCAACATCCGCAATAAACCTTTAGGAGAAATGTTGCCACTAAGAAGTGATACAGGTAATAATCCCTTAAAAAACATGTACGTTTTAAAAAACGATAAGAGTAGAATAATTTACATTTAGAGTATTAGAGAGAATGATGTATTACACTATGAATATAAAACTTGACTTTTTTCATATTCAAGCTCTTTTGCATAAGATCAAAGCGCTTTACTTACCATGCATCATAGTCTTAAATATTTGCTCAAATAATTTCCACTCAGTAGATCATAAACTTTGGAATAAATCGTTTCTCTTGATTTCTTTTCCGGCAGAAATTGATGAATCTGCATTTATAGCATCTGAAACAAAAGGTAGGTCAACAAGAAATTCCAACCCCAACTTTTTTTTATTCTCATTTATTATCCACATATTTTTTACAAACCAAACCTAGATTATATTTAACGACATATATTTCTAAGTTATTTAAAGTTTGATGATATATAATATTTAGATGAATTTTGCACTTTTGTTTTATGATACCCAGCATGCACCCTTGCACACATTTGGTAGTACATTTACTATTTCATGTTGTGAACTGTAGCTGTGTTAGAAATAATTCAGCATGTTTTACAACTCATTAGTAATGTCATTAATTAATTGTTGTGTTAATTAGTTAATTTTGTGGTAATTCTCTACTAAGAATTTATAATTTAACCTTTAGCTCAGTTTTTATCCAGTTTTATTGAAAAAAAATAATATACTAATATTACAAAATTGTAATTATGATTTAATAAATAATATTACAAAAAACCCTACATGCTTTAAATAAAGAATTTAATTATCTGAATTTTTAAGTAAAAAAAATGAAATTCTAAAAATATTCAACAATATAATTGTCATAAATATTATTCATAATTAAATTATTTAATGTTTTGTTTGCCATTTAAATGAATTTTTGAAGATATATATTTTTAAAGATTGCTTTTCAAAATTTACTTGAAAGAATATAGATATTTTAAAATGTGCACTCGGTGACTAAAAGGGGTAACTGGTGGTGGTGCCAGCAAGGGCTCAGGGTGGGCATTTTACCAAAATAATAATTTACCTATCCAAATAACATTACTTTGATTGCCATTTATAAGGTGGTCTAAAAGCACAATCTGGGCCATACTAAGCCATAAAACATCTCCATATGAGCCTTACCAGGGATTTAAATTTCGGGAACTGTGACTGAGACTCTAGGCGCCTGGACCACGTCCCCCAACCCCTATTTGGACATGTTGGACCCCCTGGTGCCACCACTGATATCAGGGGTAATTAGATAAAAAGGGTAACTAATACTGTGTCATAACCAGGTGCATTGGAGGCAGCTTACACTGGGATGCTGCTTAATGGAGGCATTAAGTCGAGTAAAAGTGGAAGCGTGACAAGTGATCAAGCCACGTTCAGCTCAGGTAGGACATTGAAATTCAGGTGGAGAACCACGCTCTTGTGGAAGCTTATGCTTGGATGTCATTGCCCTTGCAGACAACCACGCTCTTGTGAGTGTATGTCCTAAGCATTTTCATGCTCTCATGGACAGCCACACTCTCGTGGGTGTTTGTACTTGGGATTTCCAAGCTCTCGTCGACAGCCACACTCTTGTAGGTGTTAGTACCTTGGATGTAAACGCTATCGTGGACAGCCACACTCTCATGGACTATCATAATCTCTTTGGTTTTTGTAAATCATATACCCAGACCATCAAGGATAATCAACCTCATCTGGCCACTTTCACTTTTGATAGCCATGCTCTGTTGGATATTCATGCTAACATGTATCATGCCCGTATTATCATAAATGTAACACCATAGATCTTCTTGCTCTCATGGATGTTCAGGCTATTTGGATATCCACGCTATCGTGGATTTATGTCCATGCACTTGTCTTAATCCACAATCTTAGTGTACATCCATGATATCACAGAAGATTGTATTTGAATTTTCATCCATGCTCTTGCAAATGCATTAATAGGGAAAGAATTCGCAGGTTTTAACATAATTTTGTTTTTTTTGTCATTGTTTTTCATTTTCATACCATGTAAACATTTACCAAATCATCTGCATGTTAGAATGTGTACCATTTAATAGGCATCTTACATGCTTCTCCTTTTTTTTTTACCACCCTTAGGATTATGCATGCATTTTATATTATTTTTATTTAAAAAATTCATTGCAATCATTTCATTCATTTTTTTTAACATCATTAATCACTTTTCATTTATTTAACAATCGTTAGACAAAGTTAATAAGTATGAAGGGTCAACATCATCATATGTGTCATCATGCTACAGCTCGTCAATGGAGTCAGGTATTCATAATTAACCCATAAATAACATTACATGAATATTTATTATGTATTATGAATATTCATGTAGTTTTCATCTCATAGATATTATAACTAAACCCTGACGCTTGCTTTGTGTTGGTATCCTGCACATTTGACTATTAGAGTTGTAGACCTAATTTTTATGTATAAAAAAAAAACATTTCCTTTCATTATATTGGTAATTATACTGCTTTATTCTTTATTAATGTTCTGCTAAAATAAGTTGCTTTTTTATCTTCGTAGTTCATGGAGGTGTAATAAAACCAGATACTCTTATTCTACTTTAGTTATAACTCCTTCAGTGTCTTTTGTGCTGTAATTGTTTATCTTTAAGATATAACAAATATATATGTGGCACTCAGTGCTTTTCCTCTAATACCAAAGCTCTAGGTTCAAATCCTTTATCCACCCTGTCAGAGGTCAATCTTTTGCATTTGTTAAAATATAACTTCATATTTGGGAGATTAGAGGCTCAACATATTTCATTAATTTTTACTTGGAAGAAGCAGATGTTATATTCAGGACACTACCAGTATTCCTATATTTATTGTAGACTGATATGTTTTATATATGCAATAATCCATGTTCCATATGCCTCTTAGACAAGTTATTGACATTTTATTAAATTTAACTGTTGTTTTTTCCCGGGTTTAAATTTTTATGGTATCTGGTACATGACCTAGTTATGATCTTGAAATATTGCCAGCCACCACTACAATTGTTTGTTATTTCTTGGCCAATGGAATAGAAATTTTAATGGCTTTTTTTTTAAATACACTATAAATTGTAATATATATAGTGATAGAATTTGATCACTTTATATTGTAGGCTTTTAAAAATCGATAGATTAGTGATGTGTATCTAAAAAAATACCCTAATGATTACAGTAGTGTATCATACTTTGTTAATAGCATGCTCTTATTGTGTTATGTACTGCATATTTCATTCTTTTGAGGTGTTTGTCAAACTTTACAAAAATTACAACCACTTATTTGTTATACTGCAAGTTAAACAATCCCAAGGTGGTATACTGTATAATGCGTATGGTTTATTCCTAACTACCTGTAGCAGGAAATAAATGTGAAGATATAAAGATACAAATAAGTTTGAGGATTGAGAACCCATAATTACAGCGAAGATTATCAATTTAATGGTAATGAGGTGGAGTTGAATAGCTTAGTGGTTAAAGTGCTTGCATTCTTATCCCAAGTCCTTGGTTCGATTCCTATGACAGGGAGGTCTACTAAAAACAACTCTACTCCCTAAGCCTCATAAAGAAACTTGGCTGATAAAAACATCAAATTATTTCATTTATTTAAAGAGGGCCCCTGAATATCAGCCGACCTTCTAGAATACACTGGAAGGGTGACCGGCCTGTGTAAATATATGAATACAAAATGAACTAACAAAGTGCTTGTGTTTGATTTATAAGAGAGAGACAACTAATTATCTTCAAAAGAAAAACAAAGAAAGTAATTCTCAATCTAGTCCTGAAACTCATTCTTACACACCATGAAACTACTGTCTAACTAGGCAGTGAAATATTGATTATTATGTGCTGATTAACAAACTATCTAAAAATTTGTAATCGTTAGCTGTACCTGCTCAACAGGAGGGTGTCTTTCATTGGCGTAAGGATTTCATTGGAATAGGGATTTGTTCCACGTTCTCAATTTTCCATGTACTGCAGGCTGTGTCACTTGCCATCTGGGCAGAAGTGCAGACCAGAAACACTTCACTAAATTACAGTCTTTCTGTTTTTTACTATTATTCATGTCTGCATAATTTTATCTATTCTAGATGGTCATCTTAGAAGCGGTGGAGGGCATACAGGCACCTGGTCAAGTTCTCATGGTATGTTTATATAACTTTGATGATACTTTAACAGATATATTTGCTATTTAGTGATGAAACATAAATTTTGTAATTCTTGATTTTAGTATCTAACTATTTTGTGCTGATCCTGACCTAATTCCTCTCCTATTTTTCTGTCTATTACACTCACTCACTACCTTTGTTTGTGTTATTGAATTTTGTCTTGTGCCCCAGTTGTATGCTCTGCTAAACAATATTGCTCTCCCAGATGTGTATAAGAGACAGTATTTAAAGAGGGCCCCTGAATATCAGCCGACCTTCTAGAATACGCTGGAAGGGTGACTGGCCTGTGTAAATATATGAATACAAAATGAACTAACAAAGTGCTTGTGTTTGATTTATAAGAGAGAGACAACTAATTATCTTCAAAAGAAAAACAAAGAAAGTAATTCTCAATCTAGTCCTGAAACTCTGAAACTCATTCTTACACACCATGAAACTACTGTCTAACTAGGCAGTGAAAATCTAAAGATATGCAGGTCGATATTTGGCACTTATGAATTGTGAACTTTTTGTGTGAGTCCCCATTTTTTTTTAGTCATGCAATCTTTTTGAATAATAGTTTAATCAGGTTGTTCTTTTATTAGTTTTATTGTCATAAAATGTATTGAGTGCAGTATATTCACCTTTTCAAAGCTAATCGTTGAGGGCGCCATCTTTATTGCTCATTTTAATTGTTTAGAAACATTTGAGACATGTCACAATTATTGGTGTTTAAATGAATATAATATAAATAGATATAATAGATTAGATATGCACAGCATAATGAGTATAATAGGTAATTCAGCGATCCACAGGTATTAACAGCTAATCAATGGAATGCAATGTGTTTAAATTGCAAGTCAATTTATGTCTCATTTGGGAATCTGAGATTGTTGTACGTTATCATCTATTGCATGTGTATATTAATCTTGATCACGAATGCAGAACAAAGGTCACATTATTTATTTATTTTTTCAATCCTGGCAGATGTGCATTGTGCAAGCACACTTAGAATAGAGGACAAAGATGCACGAACCAGGAATCCAGGTATAACCCAATGAGTGCCCCAAATGAGCATATCAAATATGTATTAAAACACGTGCACTATATCTGTTGTATAATATATCATTGTCAAATATCATCTGCTATCCCAACCAGTGCTGTGTTTTATATCACATATCACATTTTTTTTTTTTTGTGTGTTCGTTGGCAATTTTTATGCGCTTTTCTTTTCGTAATTTGAAGTCTGAAAATCCCATGTTAAAATATGTTATGTCGTTTCTTTATAATATACTGTATATATTTGGCTAAAAAATATTTTTGGCTGTTAATTTCAGTAAAGTATGTTTGAATAGATGGTTGAGTTGTCAAGATTATGGTAATTACTTTGGCAACATTCCACAGGAAATGAGTTTCGCATCACAATTACAAGATACAGTAGATATCCTTCATAAAATTACCAATGTAATTAAAAACAGACTTGACTTTTTCTCCCTGTAAGTGTTCTTCTAATTGGATGTCATAATATGTATGACAAAGCTCATCCATTGCAGATTCTAATCAGAAATGTTTTGCTAGTTTTCACGGTAGGTATTTTTCAACGCACGACGTTAACCTTAACTTTAACGTTAGTACTCAACATGCAGCGCGATAGCTCCGCCCCTTTTTTAAAATCGAAATACGCATGCGCAAACCCGTAACTAACGTACGTGGAGCACGTAAAATCCTGAAATTAACATACTCCACAATACAAGGTGAATATATTATGATGTCATCCGTTAACATTAAGGTTAACATCGTGCGGCGAAAACTGCCTAGTGACTCTGTCAGTGCAACCAGCGCAGTAGCATTCTGCTCATAATGGAGCCTATATTGCATGCAGTGTTAAATTGTAATATTCTGGATACTCCATGTACCTGCCAACGTAGTGATATAAGATATTTGTAGCCCAAATATAAATTTTGGTTAGATAAGACGAAAAAAAAAAAAATATCACAATAATTTGATCAAAAAAAATATTTTGGCCAAACTAAAAAGAAATCAAATATATTTAAAGAGGATTTATTTGTAATTTAATTTTCAATTTATTATGTAATAGGAAATACTATATTAGAAAGAAAAAAACTTTTTCTGGATGTTAAAAAGCAAGTATTTCTTTTTAAAAATAGAAAATGTAGAACATCAGATAATTATGTTGAGACTGAAAATTATCACAACTAGCAAATCAAAAGTTCATATTAAGTCCACATTGATTAGGGATTCATTTAAATTATGACTAATTATGCCTGTAATAATTGTGATGATTGCAAGTACAGATTTTTTTTATCAATATATACTCATACAAGTGGCCTATAACATAACTTAAGCTATTAGCCTTGATATCTGCCTATTTATGTATTCAGTTTTCTATAATTTCCTGTCGATCATCTTGAATGTGACAAGCTGTGACCTGCAAAAATGCATGAATTGCAAGTTTCACATGTCAAATTATGTTCATATAATTATGTGGTTGAACGCCGCTGATATAACCTTGAAAAAATATAATTGTGATTTTTTTTTCCACTATATTTCCTTATCAAAATAAACTCATCTAGAACTTTTGATGCATTTTCATGCATAATGATCTACCTTGGTATAAAGCCCACCTTTTATGGGTATTCTACACATTGTGAGGCCTTCATGAGTCCTAGGCTTTTTGTCTAGCACAATTAGCCCTGCACCTGCAAGCAAGCCTATAGTAATCCTATTTCCATTTTTTGGTCTTTATGCAGTCCAGCCCACCCCCAGAATTGTTCAAATTGTGTTTCGAGAGCGTGGGTTTATACTTGAGATGTTACGTTAATTCTTGCAAAGATGACATTCTTCCTGTGTACATAACATACAATAAAGAACTATTAAAAAAGGCTTACTTATTATTTATTCACAATATTCAATCTAACAGTAGATATTGGTGTCTGTATTTATATTATTGTAGAATATTATAACTATTATAACAATATTATATTGTTGTAGAATAATATAACTATATATAGCATGCTATGTTGTTTTGTCAATATTGTTGTTTTTTTCATACTACACAAGCAGTATATGTTTATGTTGTTTTATTTTTTTAAAATATGTGTTGTATAACTTTTTATCAGTATGCATGTAATATGTAGCAACACGTTTCCCCTTTATTGTCATAAAAATATATACAAACTATGTCTTATCTCATGATAGTGTTGTATGTGCATACCTTTATTTTTGGTGGTGCAAGTTTTGCTGTTTTCAGGGTTCCTACAGTAACAGTGGTGTGTTTCAAAAATTTACTGTACCTTGTTTTCCCCGTAGGGGTGGGAATAAATAGATAAACATTAAGGGGTTTATTGAGCACCTTTTTGTGTATGTTTTTGCCCATGCTCTTCTCTGAAAAGGGAAGCATGTAGACTAACATCAAGAGGTGGTTCTTAGCCTTTGTGAAATTAAAAGCAAACTATCACTGCCAACACTACTGTTCCTTATTATTTACTTAATATGTGATGATATTGTGTTTGTAAAAACTTTATCTGATGAACAAAATTTATATATATTGTTTATTATGTGCTGATTAACAAACTATCTAAAAATTTGTAATCGTTAGCTGTACCTGCTCAACAGGAGGGTGTCTTTCATTGGTGTAAGGATTTCATTGGAATAGGGATTTGTTCCACGTTCTCAATTTTCCATGTACTGCAGGCTGTGTCACTTGCCATCTGGGCAGAAGTGCAGACCAGAAACACTTCACTAAATTACAGTCTTTCTGTTTTTTACTATTATTCATGTCTGCATAATTTTATCTATTCTAGATGGTCATCTTAGAAGCGGTGGAGGGCATACAGGCACCTGGTCAAGTTCTCATGGTATGTTTATATAACTTTGATGATACTTTAACAGATATATTTGCTATTTAGTGATGAAACATAAATTTTGTAATTCTTGATTTTAGTATCTAACTATTTTGTGCTGATCCTGACCTAATTCCTCTCCTATTTTTCTGTCTATTACACTCACTCACTACCTTTGTTTGTGTTATTGAATTTTGTCTTGTGCCCCAGTTGTATGCTCTGCTAAACAATATTGCTCTCCCTTCATATCGTTACTTAATATTTTATGTTTGTTTTATGTCTTTGCATATGTCACGATGCCTACTGTACCACTATTGTATTATTTTGTTTTGTATTGCTTCAATTTTATAAATATTACATTTTAAAAATGTCTAGTACAATTTCATACATAGAATCTAAGTTACATATTATCATTAATTTCTTTATTTTCTATATATACAATTTGAATTAATACTATTCAAATATATATATTATATTTATTTCAAGTTGTTATATTTTATATGTATATAATTAAAATGTTAAAATAGATATTATTTTGTTGCAAAATTAGTACTATTATTATTTTATTATAGTACTTTTTTATATATATTTTTAACAAATACAAATTTTATTTTGCTTTTTTAATTTGTTATTCCATTATCCAATTTTTTTTTGCTTCACTAACCATCCAGATTTCATTTGCCTGCATATAGCATAATGTGTTGTCGTAGTTTTTACACTTGCTTTTTTTCCTATGATTATTTTTCACTTCTATAGGCTACTGGTCTGCATACCCACAATCAACACCTACTACCAATTCTCGGTGCGCACCTTCTAGCTTGCCACCTCCCCACCCCATCTATTGCCCCCCTTCCTCTGGCTATGGTAGTTTGAATGAGCCAAGAGTCAAAGCACTTAGCACTGCGCATGCTGACATGGAGATGGAAACAGGTACACTAAGCGTAGGCCTACTAACATAATTTTTTTTCTTAACCCAATCATAAAAATAATAATTCAAATCAAACAGATGGGACATGTGGCACAGCAGTGTAGGTTCCAGCTTCCAATCAAAGGATTGGAGGTTGGTTCAAATCTCCACTTTGCTGTATCCATGAGCAATGCACTTTATCCATATTTTCTTACACCACCAAGGAGGGATAAGTGGGTACCTGGTAGGGTTGAATTACAATTATGGCAGTGTTCAGTGGTGGTCCTTTGGGCACATGACCCTACTGCAGGGAAACCTGGGCCCCCGATGGGGGGGACAAAGTCATTTATTTCAGAATCTGGAGGTGCTCAGTTTTAAAATTTACTCCGAACATGATGGGGCTGAGGTGGGTGTGAATCCCTATCGTGGACCTTGGAGCTTTCGTAAGGAACACAGGACCTTGAACCCCTCACTGCTAGTACCATTTATACAGTACTAACCTGGATGAATGGATAAATGAAGTCAAAAGCTGGTGTCTACTTCACACTATTCCCATTTATTTTCTGCCTTGGTGTGTTGGTTGTGTAGTCTGTGTTATTAGGTAGTTTTTGCCGCACAACGGTAACCTTAACGTTAGTACCCAACATGCAGCGCGATAGTGCCGTCCCTTTTGTAATATTCGAAATATGCATGCGCAAACCCGTAACTAACGTAAGTCGAGCACGTAAAGTCCTGAAATTAACATACTCCGCAACGCAAGATGAGTAAATTATGATGTCATCCGTTAATGTTAACGTCCTGAGGTGAAAACTAAATTAAAGTAAAGTAAATTAACCGTACCACTTAAAAAAGAACAGTAAATGAGTACAAAACGTTCTGTTGTTAGTTGATGCTTGGAAGGAGTTTAAAGAAGAATTGCGTGTTATTAATAGAACAAGAAGGTGGAACTTGCTTGTTTTTTTTTTATTGATGAAATGATATTTAGTGAAACTGGTGTTGTGGGAAGTCTAGGAAAGAGAGGGGCTCAGTGGTGGCGTGATAACTAACTCTTAATTATTATATTTATTTAAATATGTAAAGTTAATTATTATCCAAATCAACCTTGAAATAGGAAATGTTAAATACTTTATTTGAAAAGTCTAGGAACAACAAAATTAGATTTTGTTTGGCAATAAGACATGTAACAAGTGATTAATTTACAGGAGCTAAGAAACACTGAGTATTAAACTGTAGTAAATGGTGATTAATTACTGTATTATCATAATTTATAATGGTCTCTATATGATTAACCAGAAAATGATTTTTGGAATTAAAGCAAAGGTTAATGAAAGCGACTGATGAGGTACCTTTGGCAGGCTTGTAAATCTCACACTGGCCTTACTGTCTTTAACTAATAAATCATTTAATTGGTCAACACTTCATGCTTCATGCCTTGTTTCTTTCACTTTCTGTAACTTTCATTTACAATTGCTTAATTATAGCATTACTTCAGTGTTTTCTAAACTTCTCTTGTTTTTAATGTGCTTTGTAGAGGTCTATATTGTGTCATGCTTCTAACAAAAAAAATTCTTATTTACAGATTCTTTCTTTTTCAAAATTTTTATTACTGTATTTATAAATGAATGATAATCGTTATGTAAATAAATTGTTTTTGCATGTATTACAGTAATGTGATAATGTGTTATACTGTACATGATTTTTTTTTGTTATTTTGCATGTCTTTGGGTTCATTGTTATTTGCATGTTGCATGTTCTTTTTTTTTCTTTTTGTATTATGTTTGTAGCAACCACAAACCATGTTACTTCCTCTCATGTGTCAAATGGGTCCGCTAAAACTGAGTTTATACCGCTGCAAGCTTTGAGCGGGAAGATAATTGGTATGTCTGATATCGATGTCGAAAGTGTGGCATCAACTGATCGACAATCAACCATTCAGCAATCAGCAGTTTCAACTCCGCCGGTAGCTGTTACTTCGTACGTATCGGAACCAGGGAGTGCAGCGTTCACTGTCGCATACGAGGAGTCCACCACTCATCATTCGGTTGAACGCACTGTTCCTATGTCCGATGGCAGCCATGTTAAGACCACATCAAGCCACAAATCGTTTGAGAAGTCTTACACAACTTCAGACCGTAACAACGATGATGTTATTCCATCGATCTTAGCAAGCGGATTTGCCAATCAGCCTCTTGCCATTGAGGTTCCCGGTTCACCGGTGCAAACAGCTCCGACTCTTGCGATAACAGGTATAGTGACGGTGATAAACACTATAACAGGAAATTAAAGACTAATTACAAGCACTCCAATTAATGTTCACTTAATTTAGGTACACTATACTGTAAAGAACAAGAAAGTGAAGACCCATAAATGTGGCAAAGACAAGCCAAACCAGTCTCTCCTCACAAATCCTGTCTCAGAGATATTGGCCAAAACATACTGGAATGTCAAATTTTTAAAAATCTATATTATTGCACTATTTACTAACCTTTATATATCTATACATCATACTACACTGTTATTTTCCCCATTTTCAATATTAAAACAACAATTTGTAATGATTTGGTGATGGTTTCTGCTTGAGAAATGCCCAAAATCATAAACTTTCACTTATCTGGTTGTCTTTGGAATCACTATGCTATTGGAAATTTCTCTCACACTGGTTCTCTTGTCTGGTGATTTTGGAAGTGATCTGATATTGGAAATCAACTCTCACACTACTCTCACACTTATCTCACACTCTGTGGAGTTTCAACCATGGCTGCCACCTCTTGTAGCTCAGTCTTAGCTTTAATACTGAAAATTAACTCTCATTATTACTCTACCTATAAGGATTAACTTGTACCTTTGGTGTTTGGTTCAATCATTATTTGGCAGTTGAAACTTGAAATTCTCTTCTGAAGACCTCTGTTCATATAGGGTAGGCCTACTACAACAGTAACTTGTTGGTCATGTCTATTGTATCATTTGATATAGTTTTCCATATTGTATTTATCTCTCATCTAATATATAACATATGCGTCTTTGTAGAGTTGAGAGCACCTTAGCTCAGTCAGGTAAACTGGTGGTAGTCACTTTGTGTTCTCTGAACTGTAGACATCTTTTTAGAATTTGTAGTCACTGGTTCAATTTTATATATCACTGCTGTCCTTGTGTTTCAGCTAGAGAGATGAAATACAGTGAATAACACCCTGCCTTTTGGAAAATATTTTTAAAATATTGATCCATCACAATAAAAAAATCAGTACACTTTTTCAAAAAGGGGAGAGTATTGTATCCCTGTGCTACCCAATCCACCACAATCAGAATCCTACAGAAAATAAGTTTTTTGACTTATTTTATAATAATTTAATTTTAATAGTAAAAGAATTTCCATGTAAATTTAAACCAAATTGTTGATTACAGCTCCACCTTATGCAACAGTTGATCGTTCTGGCAGTCATGGCACTGGCTCAGCAACCGTTAGACCCATTATTCAATCAGTCCAAGATATTCCAAGCACACTTCAAATGAATGGCACAATAGACCGTAATCGCACCGACCTAAATATGGCAACCACAATTCGTCTTGGAACATCAGACCGATTGCATGCCCCACAAAAGATAGGCGTAGGTCGTTCGATGGGAGACCTAAGTATTAATTCTGACCGCCTTGGGGGCTCATTTCATGATGGACGCAAGATGAACATAAGCAAAGCGAGAAGTTTTATGCATATTGCTGGACCACCATCAAGATATCATAGCGGAATGAGTTCTAGCTATACCGGTGCCAATACCATGAGCCGATTAAGTGATAATCGTTCTGGTGCTACTAGTCTAGAATCTGCTAGATTTGGCCTCTCAACTGTTCCCAATGCTCGCCTACTACGAAGACCAGTACACACCCAACAAAATGGCGACATACATAGAGATGGTGATTTGAAGGGTATTGACCCCCTTTCTGAAGACCAAATGAGTGACACTCTATCCGGGCTTAATGAGGGCCTAAGCTCTCTGACATCGCACCTTCATGCCGAGACTCGAGAACCTGTTGTTCAGCGTTCTGGTGCTATACCTATTCCCAGTAGGCGTTTAAATGTATCCAGCGAAAATGATCAAGAATTTAGTCAGTCGATGCCGAGTGGCTACTCATATGGCTCTCACTCCCACAGTATGTATCTTTGTTATCAACACACTTTTATATTCTGTTAAAGCAATCAATTTGTTTTTGCTGTATTTGCTTAATTATTTAATTATTAAATTTTTTTATAAGCATTGCACGTCTTGCAAATGAAGAAAATATTTTTTTAAATTGCAATAATTATTTTATCGTTGAACCTACTACTATTTTTTTTCACTCTGTTCATAATTTTGCATAGAAATTGTTTTGTAATTGTTTGTATTTGCATATATTAGTTTAATATTTGTATATATTTGCATGCGCTCATGTGTATTTGTTTACTGTACAGTATTTGCATGATTATATGTATGTTATCTTGATTTCATCCTCCTAACTTCAAGGCATGGGGCAATCCGGGGACCATTTTATGAGTTCATACCGGAGGTCAGAAACCAATGAGCGTGACGCAGGATTCTCGTATTCATCTAATAATAACAATTCGTGCGGAACTCAGTTGACAATGTCAGGTGATCTGATTGATCAATCAGGTAATCAGTTTGTCCAATAGAGTACTCGTAAGCTGGTGGTGGTACAATTTAAATATGATTGTAACGGCTGGGGAGAATTGTAATGATAATAATGATAATGATCATTATGAAGTTCATTAGATCAATAGGATATGATATAATAAAAAAAGATGATTTTCCTGTAATGATGTTGGTGGTGATTCTGATGGTTACAGTTTACTAAAATTTATTTTTTAAATTAAGATATGGAAGTTGTTCATATATGGGTCTTACTCTAGCTACCCCTTTTGCTTTCATGTTATTATTGTTTTATTTTTTACAAGTGAAATTGATTTGATGAACAATAACATTAATGGATTTGGATGAAGATGATCATGTTATGGATTTTGATTATCATGATCCTGAAGATGATGATGATGATGATGTTGATGGTTATGGACTCTGATTACCATAATTTGAAATTTGATGAAGATGATGATGATGATTGATAAGTACGCTGATGATGATGATGATGGTGGCGACGATGATAACAAAGTCAATTCTTGATTGCCTTGCCTTATATGGCAATATGGCAACAATTTTATCACTTGGCCTTCCTTTGTTTTACTATTTTAAATCTGTCTATTCTACTTTTTCACCAGCTTTCTCTTTCTTGCATTTACTTTATCTTTCATCTTGATGTTTTCTTCTATACCTTATACTTTCTCAGTCCCTGTACCTGGAAATCCTCAGCCTTTCTCAACATTCTTCGAGGCTCGTCCTCGAAAACGAACTATGTCAAATTCTAGTAGGTGGAAGAAAGACTGGCGTTTACGGCGGTCTATTTCGATGGACGATCAGAGTTTCTTCATTGAACATGAGTATAGTGAGATAGGTATATAACTAAATGAGTTTTGCTGCAATGTCAGCCAATAACAAGCACTGATGATGCTTGTAATTAGCTTAATAGCGCATATAAAATGCCTCTGCATTGAGGAATTTGCTTCTGTCGGGTAAGCACGGCCTTACTTTGTTTTGTCTGGAAAATGCAGGAAAAATTTTACTTCTGTGTTTTTGGTGAAAAATGTTCCCGATTTAGTGTATCACTATTTTAAACATGTGCCGCTGAGAAATTTGCATGCACCCTGATTAATATTCAGGTGGCAGTTGATGGCCACTTAGGGTTCTTATTTTTGACTCTGTGGGAGGAGGGTTCTTATTTTTGACTCTGTGGGAGGAGGGTTCTTATTTTTGACTGGCTGGGGGAATGAATGTTGCATGACTGTTAAATGTATTGATTCAGGATTGGATGCATGCAACATAAATTCTTTAATAACAAAAATGAAGAAATATTTATATTGACAAAAGAAAATTAAATTTTTAACATATTCAAACAATATATTTTAGGGATTTAAATTGTTAAATACAATTCTGATAAAAAAAAAAGTTGAGGTCATCGGTTGGCTAAAAAATGAAAATGATAACTCAGTGTGGTGTCTATCACTGTACAGTACCAAAATGAAATACTGTGTATGTACAATTTTTATATAATATTTATATAATGTTTGTAAATCTTTACAACCTTTGCAGCATTATATAATATTATCAAAAATTTCATATTTATCAGGATAGGTTTTGGAATAAAAGAAACTTTTTCAATCATGAACAGTGTAACCCAGGACAGATTCACTCATCCATGAACGTCCTGCATTTAACCCAAACCGCATCTTAGAATTCAGATGACAACAAGAACTAAAAGTCTTTGCATATGCAAATGACACTACGCAACATTATTATGTCCTAGGTCGTCATGCTATCAAATGACAATAACCAAAATGGAGATCCATTTTAAATTTTGAAATTCATGATAATAATGACTTGCCAATCATTTTACTTGCCTGCCATACATTTGATTCTTACTGGTACTTTTATTTTGTTTGCCAACGTCCTCACAGTTTGTTGTACTTTATCTACACAGATTAAATTCTCTAATGTTTTTGTTTAGGCGAGACTCTTTTTATTCCTTTTTTTATGTACTTTTTTTATTACTTTTTTTATGTACTTATTTTTTTTAAGATTGTCAGAGGAGGGAGGACTAAAAATAAAATAAAATTTTGTTTTTTTATTTAGCAAATAGTTTTGCCAAAATCATCCAGACGGAGGAGAAAATAAAAATTTATTGTTAAATGTAAAATAGGATGGTTAAATGCTTCAAATTTATATAACTAGGAAGAAATATACACATTTTATCTTTGCCGATTTCAAGGCAGCGAAGGGTGGAATAAAAGAAAAACTTTATTTTTTTCTGAAATTTCCACTTTTTCTTGGCAGCGGGTGCGCTAATTGTGCAAAAATAAAATGTTATTTTTATTTGAAATCAATATTTGCAGTTGGTGGGTTTGCTAAACAAGGTATGAAAAAAATCTTGCCTTAATTGCAAAATAACATTATCAAAAATTTCATATTTATCAGGATAGGTTTTGGAATAAAAGAAACTTTTTCAATCATGAACAGTGTAACCCAGGACAGATTCACTCATCCATGAACGTCCTGCATTTAACCCAAACCGCATCTTAGAATTCAGATGACAACAAGAACTAAAAGTCTTTGCATATGCAAATGACACTACGCAACATTATTA